ACCCATTGGGAACCACATATTAAAACAACATATCTTATGTGTGGTCAGAATTTGAAAATAACATATAATACAGCTCAGTATCTGAGTAAAACAATACAGTTAAGATCTGTATACATGGGGTTGATTGGGGTAAATTGTAGGAGTGACATGGAAATATGATCTGTACTCTTACTTATCTGTATACTTAACTGTTGTATTTTACTTCCACTTTCCCTAATTTGTTATTACATTGGGTTTTATTAACACTTTGTGTTTGAAATTTTGAATTTTGATATGGCCAATTAATAAACTTTGATTGATTGATTGATTGATTGATTGATTGATTAGCCCTTGTAGCAGCTGCCTCACATCATTGACTTGTGTTCAGCTTGTCAGTGGACCACTCCCAAGTCCTTCTCTGATGTAATACTTCTAAGCCGTGAATCCCCCTTCCTCTATGTTGTGTCCTACATTTTTCCCTAAATGTAATATCTTACACTTCTCTCTGTTAATGGACATATTATTCCTGTCACCCCAGTCTTCCAATCTGTCCAGATTAGACTGCAAATTCAGTCATCTTCAGTGTTGGCCAGAGCTCTGAATTTTATGTCAACAATCCCGTCATCCAGATCATTCACACACATTTCATTTTGGAATTCGCTTCCTACACATTTAAAAAAGTTAAAAGAAATATCAGTATAGACAGACATCCAAAAACTGTTTTTCAAACACCTTAGAATATTTTTATGCTGTTCCTAATTCAAATACATACATGCAATGTATGATACCTTATTGTACCTGGAATATTGTGAACTCATTCTTCTCACAAGATCTAATTGTTTAGGAAGACATAGAAAATAAGGTTCCACAGATAAAAAATTTCTGTATGTTGTTATGAAATCATATATTCCTTTTAATGCCATTACAACCCTAGTGATAATTAGAAGAATAGTCCTTTTTTAAAAATCAAACTTACTTGACTTTTATGTGCTACAGTTGGGAGATATACATATGAGTACCATAAAAGCTATCAATTTTATAAGAATTAGTTCCAAAAAGGAATTGTGTGCTCTGCTTAATGATTTTGCTTCCTTCTTCTGAACAGTTTGAAAATGAAATAATTTTAAAATTGGATCATGAGGTAGAAGGAGGCCGTGGAGATGAGCAATATCTGCATTTGTTTGAGGCAATGTAAGTACAACAATGGAATACATCATTCAAATGTTTTATATTTTAAATTGTATATTTGTTTTAAAAGTGTGTACTACTGAAAATGTCTCTCTCTCTCTCTCTCTCTCTCTCTCTCTCTCTCTCTTCAATCCTTCTGTTACTCAGATATTTCTAGGGCCTACTAGGATTTATTAACCAAGTCCTATATACACTTTGTATCAGTAATGTAACCACACCTAGTACTGCAGATCATTCTCTGTGCAGAACATGGTCTGTTTTTAAAGTCCCTTCAGAAATAACAGCATATATTTCTTCTCTAGCCTTTCCAGTTGTGCCATTTATCCCTAATCAAACAGTAGCAAGTGTAGCATTTGCCTATGCTCTGCACACCAAGAGATGCTGAAAGACAGCAAATCATTAAAAAACGTTGCACCTGAAAAATTCCAAACATATAGCAAATCTCAGGTACTTCCAGACATCACCATTCCAGAAAGAAAGGGGGAAAGGCACATCACAGCAATGAAACTTATTAGTATGGGTGGATTGCACCTCACTCTCTGGTTTAGTGTAATAAATCCTGTGCTTGCTACTGTGTTCAGAAGACTGTCAGCCACTACCATGGAGATTAATCCAACCTTTGCGCTGAACAGAAATGAGAACATGAGACAAGCTCTCCTTGAAGAAACCCAAGATATATCTCCTTCTGTTTCCCTCTGTAGCCAACCAGATGCCAATGGGAAACCCACCCACAAAACATGTTGATATTCATGCTTGTACTTCCCAACAACTGGTGGTCAGAGATATGTCGCTTCCAATTCTGGAAATAATATATAGCCATCATTAATTGTAGTCATGGATAGTCATCCTCCGTGAAAATTGTGTCTTTCTCTTTGAAAGCCATCCAAATAGGTGTCATTACTGTGTGCTCTCATGGCTGCAAATTCCTTTGTTTCAATTGTGTGCTATGTGAAGATTACCTTGTTTTTTCTGAATCTCCCATAATTCAGCTGGGTCATCCATAGTAAGGGACTGGTCATTGGACAACATCCTATTGAATAAACAATTGTGAAGGAGTATTGTTTTTAGAGTACACAGAATTGAGGTGAAATGAAAATAATAAAAGCTCCACCAGTTCAACAGTTCCATTTGCCCAGCCTTTGGGGACATATTAGGAAAGCACTAAAATCTGGTCTTCCTTCCAAGAAATAACATTTTGTAAGGGAGCATTTTGATCTCAGAGGTACATTTTGGCAGGGAAAAAACATTTTTATGAAATATGTAAAGCTGCATCAATTGTCTTTTGTTTTCTAACTGTGATTAGTTGGGTGGCTATTTCCATACCAGCAATTTCTACTCCTAAGACTTGATTGCAGACTAAATTATCTCTGTCTGTTACTTCTTAATTTATAATACTTGTAAATATAAATTAAAATATTTGCAAATTACTTTGAACTTGAGGGTTATACTATGCACCACTTGGCAAACAACCAAAAGCAGAAGAGCTTTTATCCAAATATATCAGTCAGCCAGGAGAATAAAACGTGGTACTGGAACAGTTTTATCTTGTATCCTACACTACAGATCTCCTCAGGAGAACTGAACTATTCTCTGAAACAGATTTAGGCTGTTTTTGAAGGGGAAGGTATGGGGTAAGAGGAAGCCATCTTGTACAAATGATTGGCTGTTTATGTAACACTAAATATAACCCAAATAGATTCATTCCAAGAATATTAAAGTCACATAACAACTGTTAGTTATCATATTGAAATATATTGATGTTTAATTTTTCCTAAAGAATGGAACAGCTGTTTCAAAACTACACTGACTACATGTATTAGAAACTACAATGTTCAGATAAAAGGAGTCTTTTAATGGGAGAGATTAGTACAAGAATCAAACACAAACCTCTACAGTGGAAGAGTTCTTTTCAGTTACAAAAATTTTAGAGAAGATGTTAAATGCATCTGTGGAAAAATATTGTCTTGGAATGTATAAAATGATGATCATCTGCACTTTCAAAATTATAGAGGTGCCTAGAAAATGCCGCAGAAAGCTTTGCAGTATTTCACCTTGACACTTCTCAGTGCTGCTCAATTGAATTGCTACGTGAGATGGCAGAATCTAATGAAATTCAACACATTATAGATTCTCATCTATATTTTTTATCCCTGATTGGGAATAGCCAGAGTGAATAATTGGGGACATGACTCCTGTTTTCTTCCCAAATATCCCAGAAGTACTGGGCTTTCTGAAGAGAAGGTATTTTAGAGCATGGATAAAAAGTGTTAGGGTCATGCAGCAATGGGAATTCAAGTGGGGAAGAGTAATTCACAACACATGACAGCATTCATGGCGCACCTGTTGCCACATCCTAAAGACTCTGCATCTTTTCCTGGGCTTGCATGGGTGCAGTCTCGGGCAAAAGCATGTGTGATTGAAGGAGGTACCAACAGGTACAACCTGTGTGCCCCACATGTGCTCAGAGTCCCCTTTTCTCCTTTGAATCAGATTACTGCACAGCCCTAAATCGTATCTGGCTTGCCATTTAAATGAAAATCCAGAACATATGCTTAGGTAATTAAGATACACACACACACATTCGTTCATTCGCCATCTCGTCTCCCCTTTTCCTTCATTCGATCACAAATTTGTACTAACATGTCATGCAGATTCTCGTTGTTTTCCTTTTACATTTTCAGACTCATCGAGTGTTCTTCAAGCTATCCTAAGATCGCAAAGTCAGTTGAAATGTTTGTAAGCCTGATAAAAGGTCTTTTGGAAAAACTACTGGATTACCGTGCTGTGATGAACGATGAAAGCAAGGACAATCGTATGAGCTGCACTGTGAATTTATTGGTATGTGGTACCTTAAAGTTGCATAAAGTTCTGAAGTTTTGAATCTGGAGCAGTTTACAAAGTCTACAAACCCTTACTGTAATTTAAAGATGGATAATGGTAACAACCATTATAATGACATGACATTATTATAGATTATACAGCAGGGAAATGGAAGCTGGGCTGTTGCCATTTATTTGGGAGGGAAACTCCAACGGTCTAGTCCAAATTTTATAATTTAAAATAGAAACTTTCTTTCATCCACTAAACAATGACATAACTATGCAGAATACACATAGAGAGATGTAACATTTGACACCACGCTATAGGTCTTGGTACGTATTCTCTTCTCCTTTCTGGGTTGCTGTTTTTCATGCTGTTTTCTGCCAGGAGTTGCAGGCAGAATTTCAAGTGCATAGCCATATGAATTGAATTAATTAAGTAATTAAATGTATGTAGCGCTTTTTGAATGTTGAGATTGCTCTGGGTAAATTCTATTAATTTGCAAGAACTATAAGATAGATGAAAATGACTGTCCTTATGTTGTGAATGGAGGGCTAAGACTAAGGGGAAGGCAGGATACCTAATGAGTACATGGATGAGCTAAGTACTTCATTGAGCAATGTACTTCACGACTCACTGTTTATATTAATAGACTATTCTACATCTCTCTGGGGCATAATAATCCTTATTTAATCCACAATCCAAAGGGAAATTGACCTCCCTCCAAGTCATTCTCAGCTGATCACCATCTTCTCCACTATCTTTTCTGTTGCCAAGTATAGTTTGTAATATATGGATTTGAGTGGAGATGGGGATATAGTCCCATACAAAAATATGCCTGTTTCAAATACAGTGTACTCAATATATCCATGCTATAAAGGAAAAAGTATGCAGCAGGAGAGTATATGCAGCTTTACTGTAGTTCTCAGAATCTAAGTGATTTATCTTTCCTCATTTTTTGCAAGCAAAAACATTTTAATAACAATTGCTGTGATGAAAGTCAGTTCTTTCCATAGTTTGCATCTATGCAAGTCAGAGTATCCTTTAAAATCCTCATGATTGCTCTCAGATACTAACTTACTGCTCTATCTTATGACTTTGATGATCATGAATTCTATCCACGCTGGTTTCAGTGGGCAGTAATGTATAAATAATGCATATTTATGTTAACCTTAATTGAAAGCTTTGAGATTTTAGAAATGAAACAAAGCAAAATTATTCCCTGAATAAGGAATTATGCATGTTTGAAGAATATTATAAAATGAACCATCCCAATTGTGCGCAGAAGTAATCACGTTTCATTCATTTTTCCTCCCAGAATTTCTACAAGGAGATTAATCGTGAAGAGATGTATATAAGGTATAGTAATTGCCCTTTTGATTACAGTTGTCACTGAAGAGATCAGTGTTGTTTTTATTCACATAATCTTCAGGTTTATACATGGATTTATAGTAAATATCTGGTTATACATTATTCAGTTCAAATATATATTATACCAGATATATTATTAGTTGTTCTGCAAACGCTCAACACATATTTTGTCTGAGTTGCTCAGTCATATACCTGCCTTATTTAGTTTTGGAAAGAAGAGGGTATGTAATTTAAACAAAGAGGATGATAATTTAAAATTGGTAGATAAAGTACATTTTGACTGTGTTGAATTGAATAAAATCCGTCTGTCACAAATTTTGCAACAACTGTAGTCTTTGTTTTGGAATTAGATAGAAATCAATTATCTGTTTGTAGAAACAATATTTTTTAATCTGTTCAATTAAATGAGATTCTATGACAGGAGTTGTTTTTGCTGGGCAGCATAAAGCTATTCAGATAGAGAAATAGAAACCTTTGCAGCACAAAGCTTTTAAGTAAGTTGTATAAAACCACAGACTGAGATCAGGATCTTTGATTTATGTAACACAAGCAAATTTGATTTTTCAGTTTTCACTTTATATTCAACGTCTTTTGAACAAGTACATTAGAAGAGGCAGGATTGTTAAGGTGGACTATATCGAGAGGGGGTGTCTTCAGAACATCTTACTCCACCAAATTAACCATAGTTTCAGTTTTGATTTTCACAGTCTTTCTTTTGGAATGATAAAAGAATTCAAACCCTTGAGAATACAAGCTGTGTTTTAAATTGGTCTTCCTTTAAAAACTCTAAATTCAGTATATTATCTCAGCCTGTTGATAATATGTTTGTGTGTCTATGACATTTGTCTGTCTCAGTTACATACACACTCACATTTCATTTTACATAATATATAATACTACATTGTATTATTTACTATACTATATAATACAAACTATATGTGTATGTATACTACAGAATATATATTCTATCTTATTGTATCATATCATCTTATTTTAATCATCTTATTTTTAATTGGGCAGCTATCCGGATATGTATATGTATATGAATATGTGCATGTATGTATGTTATTTTCAGCTTGGAAGAAGAAGGCTTCAGCTTTCACCACACAAAAGCCTTTTTTCAAGAGGTAGTATATAAAGTGCTGAGATTTGAAAACCCCAGGATGTAAATCCTTTTTTATGAGGCAGGACAAGTTAATACATTTTAAGCCTGATTTCCATATAACCAAGTTTTCAAACTTAACTTCAAAATGATAGAAGTTTGAAATATAATGACTGAGCCAACCAATGTAAAACATGATTAAGACCTATTCATATGAATGACACTTCAGCGCCTTATTGCAGGTCTCAAATTTAAATGTTGGCAGTGGTTCTCATCATTTTATGGTGATAGGTCAATATTTTATGAATTCAAAATAATGCTGATCTCAGGACCTCTCTGTTTTCCTTGCTGCTTCTATTTATAGGTATCTGTATAAACTTCGGGATCTTCACTTAGATTCTGAGAACTACACTGAAGCTGCGTACACCCTTCTGTTGCATGCTTCACTTCTGAAAGTAAGTCGTTTATCTGCAATCGAGGACAAGTACTAAAATCTCAAGAGATGGAGGAAATTGCCTGTCCTAACCCAGAACTGTGTTATAGGAAATGACAAGTGATTCAATGGTTATGTACGGTTGTATTGATGGCCTCGGATGAACCTGGATTTGTACTAGTCTCCTATATGCAAATAATAGACTCTCTTTTACAACTAGTAACTATAGTTACTATAAATAGAAGAGTAGGAGGAAATCCAGATTGATCCCACTCATCCATATCTATACACTCAATGCCTAATCCAATGAGAACAGAATCTTGACATTTGGAGCAATCAACAAATAAGGGGAGCTTCTTTAAGGGACACATGTTGTGTGCCTGGGAGGAGAGAAATGAGAAGCAGGGGGAGGGGAATGCAATGGAGTAACCTGAAATAAACCCCAGGTGACTGGTTGGATGCCGAACAGGAGCAGTCTGCCTTCAGTGACATGTTGTATGTATTTCCTGAGTAATAGGTGAAAATCCCATAGATATTCAGTTCAGAGGTACTATTTTAATGAGTCATGTAAATCACAGTTCCTCAGCCTTGGCAACTTTAAGACGGGTGGACTTCAACTCCCAGAATTCTGCAGCCAGCCTTGCTGGCTGGGAAATTCTGGGAGTTGAAGTCCACCCATCTTAAAGTTGCCAAGGTTGAGGAACCCTGATGTAAATATTTTAATTATAATTTGGAAATACATGTGTGTGTGTGTGTGTGTGTGTGGCTGTGTAGAATATTATATGGCAGTGATTTTTTTTAAATCTTTGGTGTGAGTAGTAAGAAGAGTTGGTCAAGCAGTGATGAGCTTTCAGGCAGAACAGCCACGGTCTAGTTTTCTGTTGCCTGATGTTTCACCAGCAGCTGTGGCTGGTATCTTCAGAGGTCGAGTGGGCTGCTTTGTAGTGTATCTCTCAGCATCTCCCAGGCAAGAAGGGTTGGCCTTACTCAGAAACTGTGGCGAGTTTATGGAACAGTATCAAGTTCATTTTTCTTAAAACTTACTTTAATCTGGTCTCTGAGAACCTGCTGCTTCATTAACTCTTCAAATTAAAATTCACATTTCTGTGCATATAAAGCTACTGACATTTCCAAACTTTTACCTGCACATTTGGCACCAATGCATTTGTTCAAGCCCTAATGCTTTTAAGAGCAAAGGAAGGGAAAAGCTGTTGTTGTATGCTGTTACAGATATATTGGCTCTCTGTATGTGTGTATTTTAAAGCCTCCTAGTTTTCTTGGTATTACGAAGTGACCTTGACTCAGGATTTCAATTTCAATTCCATGTTATTCTGGGAAAGCTGCAGAGCTGAAAAAAGCTGGAGAGATGCCAGGATTTCAACTCAACAGGCACTTTCCCCAGGAATAAAGTCTTCTCTCTGGGAGTACAAGGGAGAAAGATCTTTCTTAGTGAATAAAGCAACAAAATGGCTCAAGAAAACCAAAGTCATGACTGGGAAATGGAGTTGAGACACCAATAAAGACCAGAAAGAGTGTTAGATAAAGTATCTGATTGGCAGATTAAGTCAATCTTCTTTATGGAACAAAATGGATTTTTGAGCACAGCATTAAGGAAAAATACAAGATACCTACGTGAGAACTGGACACCCAGCACAACTGAGCTCTGCCATATCAGTGGAAACAACTATTCTTTACTTCTGTTTGCCATTCCAAATGGTGTCCCACTTTTTCCATTATAAATTTAATATAGTTCATGTGAGTTGAATTTAAGGTCCAAAAGTCTTTATACTGATGAGAAGACTAGGACTGTAAGATCTTCAGGCAAAAAGCTGGATGACCACTAGTTTGGCACCAATGAGATATACTGTAGAAAGTTCAAACTCTTTACTGCTCTTGGTGGACAACCAAACTTTTGGAAGCCAGATTTGATAGCCCAAATGGAGATGAATGATGCCCATTTCAAACCCATGTATTTCAGTAGTCAAGGTCTTTCAGATAAATGCAACTCTTACATTTTGTGGTGCTTGGAACAATATTCCAAAATTAAAATCATATGTACTGCATATCAATGCAATGTGTGTGGTGTGTGATAGTTTGGTGGTTCTTACATGTAAATTTGGGCAAGGAGTGATATGTCAAGGAATGAATGCCTGTATGTGTATTTAAAGAGAGGAGTTTTAATGATGCAACTGTCTATGCAGGTTCAAAAAATAGAAGAACTATGCTTGGATCTAATTAAGGATATGTAAAAAATGCCAGAAAGGAAGAAATCTAAGAAGCTGACTTGCATGTTTATATTGCAGCTGACATGAAGTGCATGTATTTTGTACCCAGTTAGGATACCAATCTTTGGTAACCTTTAAAGAAAAAACAGCTAAGAACTTACTTGCAAATTTATTATGAGTTTTTTCTTCTCAGTGGTCTGATGAACAGTGCACTCCTCAAGTCATGCAAACAGAATTTCAGAGTTCACAAACACACCGTCATCTGAAAGAGCACCTATATGAGATGATAATAGAATATTTTGACAAAGGAAAGGTAATTTTATCTTCTTTCTAATTCCTGCTGAGTAGCTTTGTGCTGTGGGTTATAAACTCATTTGATTCATCCAAAGCATTAATGTCTAATGTAGAGAAAGAAATGTCTGTCCAGTAAATCGCCAGTTGGGAAGAATTGTTGGTTTGGACCTCATGTTACGCTACAGCATAGGATTTATGGAAGAATGTTATTGTATGTAGTCTATGACATTTATTAAGGCATTGCTGTGATTCAGACAGTACAGAAATTGTGTGGCATGAGGTGGCTAATGTGTTAATGTGTTACCGTCTTGTGTATTTTACTTTGTAAAGAAGAAAGGCATGCAGTGTTTCAAATTAGGCTGAAATCACTAGCTAACTTAATAGCTGCTTTTAGAAAATGTTTGTATTCCCAGGTAGGCTCTAGTACTTAGTAACACTTTTGTTCTGTGCCTCTGTTGTCATCTCTGTTTAACTGTGGAAGCAGTGCAAAAGGATTTGTGTTTTGGTCAGGCATTGTGAAAGCTTGGTCTCTAGAATGTTTCCTATATATTTGTGACATGAAGTGAGTTTATAATGTCAGTGACTATCATGCAATGAACAGAAGCCCAAGCTTTGCAGATATTATCTGGGAGAAAAAGAATGGTCTCAGTCTTAGAACAGGGCAGGGGATCTCAGACTGCTTGCCTCTTGGATGGGTAACCTCCAGGGAATCCCAGAGCTATGGGGTAAACTGGGAAGCTGAAAAAACATCCAAGAAGACAATATCAAATCATTTCCTCTGTTGCCAAAAAACCACACTGACGTGTCTGTGAGGTCATCAAAATTGAATTGAACTTGAAAGAGACTTTAGATTTATAACTCTGTATAAAGTTAATGTAAATTAGTAGAGCGTTGGTTCATTGAACCATTCAAGACTGAGAAAGCAGGTATCTGAGGCAGTCATATTTCAATAAGTTGGTATAAAATATGAGATGTATGGGTAAATTTTTTACATATTAAAATTAACTGTAACAGGATGATCTGTTCCACAAATTATGTAGAAATCTGAAAAACGGTGAAAATATCACAAAATAGGGCTGTGCAAAATATTCAGAAGAAGCACGTCACAAAGCACATTGGTATAAGCAAAGCATTCCTGAAAGAGTTTAAGTGACAGTGCAAGTCTTCTAAAAGGCACCACTGCTTTCATGCTTAGAGGAGAAGTGCTTTCTTCTCAACAACATGCTTTGCAAGGCCCTTTCACACAGTTTGTCTGGACATATGTTCTTAAAGAGGTGTGCATGAAATAAATCAGGGTTCTTCAATTGTTCTTTCAAGAACCTAATATTGTTGCAAAGGTAACTACAAGCTCTTAAATGCATTGACTCAATGTAGATATTTCTGATTACACAAATGCTATTCTTCTGGAGTTCTAATGTGATATTTCAAAGCATATTGCATAATGAATAAAGATTTCAATAAACTTCTCTAAGGTTATGTGATTATATGTTTGAATGTCCTATTACATTGCAGATGTGGGAAGAAGCAATCGGCTTGTGCAAAGAACTAGCAGAACAATATGAAATGGAAATTTTTGATTATGAACTTCTAAGCCAAAACTTGGTAAGAATGGAATTTTGCAAAAATGTTGTAGATTTTTAGTTGTCTGTAGTTTCAGATTTCTTTCTGAAACCTTTTTGTAATTCAGGTCTAGATTTTTTTTATAAGGTCAAGAACAAGTTTTGTGTAGTGGTTAAGGCTAGACATCAGGAGACCATGTATTCTAGTCCTGCCTTCAGCATGAAGCCAGCTGGGTGGCCTTGGGCCAATCACTCTCTCTCAGCCCCAGGAAGCAGGTAATGGCAAACCACTTCCAACCTTGCCAAGAAAATTGCAGGGACTTGTCCAGCAGTCTCCAGGAGTCAATGCTGGCTCAGAGGCATCTATCTATCTATCTATCTATCTATCTATCTATCTATCTATCTATCTATCTATCATCTATCCAGTTTATCATTATTTCAGTACAATTGAGTAAATAGTTTTAAAACACTTAAGAAAAGTAAATCCAGAACAATAAAATAGATATTTGCCTTCTTTGCCTTGACAAAGAAAAATGGAGGATGTTCTGTAAATCATGGCTTTGTACATTTGGCTGTGACATAGCTAGAAATTCAAAATAGAGTTGAGAAGCTTAATGCCTCCAGAATCTCTGTTTTCCCAGGCTGTGAAGGACTGTAGGGGGAATAAGCTGAAACTAAATCCAGGCAAGATAAACATGTTACTGACTCTGAGGGCTGAATGGCAGGAGATAGTCTAGAATGGGATCTCTTTAAAGAACAGATTTACAGTCTGGGGTCTTCCTGGATCCAGCCCTGATGTAGATAGCCTCATAGCAGCAGTGGCCAGGAAACTCTTATATTCAGTGTCAGCTGATAACTGGGGGGCATACCTACTTGGTTTTTGAGACTTATGCTGCAGTAATTTAATGCTGGATTACTGCAATCGTTCATGGGATAATCTAGAAGACAGTCCAGAAATTGCAGCTGGCTGAGCTGTAACTGCTTTCCAAGCCCAATTCAAGATACTCATGATGATCTATGAAGCCTTACAAAGCTTAGGCCCATGATATTTGCAGCACTACTATTCTCATCACACCTTCTTAGATCATCAGTAGGATTACAGCTTTGGAGGTGAGAGGCTCAAAACATATTTATTTTCCAAGAACATTTATATTGTTGTTTTTATAGATTTTTTTACAGAAATCTGTAAGTTGCCCAGAGCTATTAAGGGAGTTAATTTTCCGGACACATTTTAAAAAAATGTCCAAAATTAGAACCATTGAATTGAGGTGGGAAGGTCAAGGTTTCCAAACTTGTTTCATAATTAGTTGAATTTAGTGTTATGTTACTATTTTTTTTTTCCAGGTGGGAAGGTCAAGGTTTCCAAACTTGTTTCATAATTAGTTGAATTTAGTGTTATGTTACTATTTTTTTTTTCCAGAAGAACAAGGAATGCTAATTCTTTAAACTCCTTCATTGTTCTGAACCACAGACATAAATAAAAATGATCTGACCTCATGAT